AGGGGATCCTTTATTCAGGCTCCAGCGGTGAAAGCCACATCTTCTCACATCCATCATGCCGGACTGCAGAGTGAGAGTGGACCTCATCCTCATCGTCCTCTGCCTCCACACGCAGCTCATCATTGGCCAGGATTGGGTCCAGACAGAGCAGCCTAAGCCTGTAATCCACAGGCTCAGGCATCTGGATGAGCAGGTCAGTCACGAGCCACACTGGACCCGTCCAGTCGATTCATTTCAGTCAGGCAAATCTACTCGGTGAAAATTCTGCATGTCTCAGCTCTGCTATCTGCTAGAACATCGTCCTCAAGGCTTCTCACGGCATCCAAGATCCAGGTGATGGCTTAAAGTGAAAGCAGAACTACGTATGATGTTTTTTTTTTGGACATTCATTTTCCTATTTTTATGCCTTCAAGTCTCAGATTCAAGTTTCATGAAACTTAAAACGTGAATCTTGCGCGAATAAAAATAGGAGAATGGGTATTAAAAAAGCCAAAGCCACTTTAGTCCCTGCATACTCGTCAGCTCTTGTCTTGCCAACAGTTAACATGAAAATAAATGCATCACATTTGCTGCTGCCCGTCTGTTTTGAACAACTGTTTTCGTATTTCCATTTGCTTCGCAGTTCCGCCGATTCCAGGAGGTCACTCTCATGCGCCTCAGTGACATCGCCGCCAACTACAACATCTCCTACAACATAGACGTGCGCTTCCAGGAGCTGATGGAGCAGTACCAAAGCATCTCCGACGTCCTGAAGGAGTTCCAGACCATGACAGCCAATGACCTGAAGAGTCTGAAGTTCTGGATGACAAAGCTGCAGAAGAAGACCAAAAAGATGGAGGTGAAGGTCATCGCTCTGGAGAAAGCTGTGGATGAGAACGGCAAGGCCGTGAGGAAGGACATCCAGAAGGTCATGTTGTCCAACCTCACCAGGGAGCTCCAGGTCCACAAGGAACAGATCAGCATGATCTCAGCTCACAGTGAACAGCTCCAGAGCAGTTTGAGAACCCTGAGGGACTCCATAAGGAAACAAGAGAAGAAGATCTCCAGGCTGGAGAAACGGTTGTGGGACATGTTTCAGGCCATGGGCTTCCATCACTTCGATTCTGGCTACACCCCCCCAGTTACATCCGCTCGGCAGGAAGAGGATCCCAGGAGTCCCCACCCCATTGAGAAGCTCCTGGCCCAACATTCCAAAGGCCGGAAGTCCAAGGCCGACCAGGTGCCGCTCACAGCCATGCCAGAAGCTGCAGCCCAGGAAGAACCAGAGCTACGCGACGTGCCGCAACTACCTCTGAGGCACAGAATCCCTCATCAGCAGCACACGTCCAGGAGACCAGGCACGAGTATGTATCCCTAAGGGCGGCTAACCATCAGGCTTATCTCCTAGCAGGTCTCATGGCACCTACATGGGCGACACCTGCACAGCCTCATCACATAGCTCTGCAGTTAGCTCATCGCCACGCTTTCTTTTATGCGTTTAAAACCGCACTCAAGCCGAAGGTCATAGCTGATCGTACTTCAGGAGGTAACTGCAGGCATTCAGAAACAATTAGGTAACAAAGTATCCAAATTTGACATAGGTTTGTCATATAGCCTGCAAACTCCACCCATGTGGAACCCTGGCAGGGACTCGAACCCGGGCCAGGAGGTGTGAGGTGACTTTTGAAAAGCCAGGTCTCCAGCATTCTGACTTTGCTGGCAGGGGGGAATAAAATTTTCTATGACTGAAATTCAGTTTTTGCTATTGTGATCAAAGGGGGGAAGCTTATGTAAACAAAGAACTTATCAATCTCAGTTATAGACACAAAACACTGGAAGATGTATTATGATTAGAATTCGTAATGGGAAGACACAGAGAATGAGGGCAGGAATTGTGAAATATTTTTAATGATTCTAACAGGAAGAATTACAGTCTTCCAGCTTCTGTAACTGGAATAACATTCAGACTTCTGACTTTCTCTCAAAATGCCAGGTTTTTTATAAGAATGTGATTTTTCTGCGGAATCTCCTCCTTTTGCATCCCGGATGCTCTTGATAGATTTCAGGGTTTGAATAACACTCTGAGAAACACACAGGCAGCTCGGCAGCTCTGGTGAAGTAAGTCCAAACTGCGCTAGATGCTGGAACGTCACAAAATCTAGAGCAAATTAACTGATGTAATTACAAGGTTTTGGGGGAAGGAAGACATGCCACATTCAAAAGGGAGAGAGTCACTGAAGTGGAAGTTAAAACATTTGCCTTGGCCTTTGGTTATGGCCTCTTAATCATTCCCTGAATAGTAAGTCACATGCTTTTATGTTGTACAATCAAACCCATTCAAGTGGCTCGGTATGATGTGATCAGCAGAGGTGGAAAGTTCAGGTCCAGAAAGTACAAATCCAGACCAAGATTTTGTTTCAACCAATCAGTTGAGTAGTCTGTAACTGTGACTCTTTATACTGAACTAGTTGGTTGAAACAAAACCTTGGTCTGGATTTGTACTTTGTGGACCTGAACTTTCTACCTCTGGTTATCAGTAATGGTTCTTCATTCCAATGACAGACTCAGTACACCGTTTACAAATTTGGAGTGAATTTCCATTCCATCCATCCGTGTTCTGTAGCTGCTTGTCTGGTAAAGGCTCATGGTGTCCCTGGCACCTCTCCCAGGATAAGAATGCCCTGGTCCATCGCAGGGCAGGACACACACACACACCAGCATGCAAACACACACACAAACACACACATGTAGGGGTGGACATCAAAGCCACAACCCTGGAGTTTACAGAGCCAAGCACTAAGCCCCCAGCTCACCAAACTACCAGTGAATTTGTTATGCTTTTCAGACTCGGGCAGTCTGGCAATCCCTGTTCTGAGGGACTATTCTGCTTTTCTTGTCCCCTCCCCCACAGTATGCAACGTGAAGTCCATGCTACTGTTCCCCTCTGCCTCGATCCAGAACTACGTCACCTTCAGAAAGGGCTTCCCCTCCGGGATCCACGAGCTGTCCATGTGCACCTGGCTGAGGCTGAGCACCCCCTACATGGGGACCCTGCTCTCCTACGCCACTGAGGACAACGACAACAAGCTGATTCTCTATGGTCGCAACTCCAGCCAGCTGAACAGCATGGACTTCGTCATCGGCGACCCGTCGTACCGCCAGCTGCCCACGGCGGGACTCCTGGGCGGAGACTGGCACCACCTCTGCGTCATCTGGTCCGCCGCCGAGGGCCGCTTCTGGCAGTACGTGGACCGGCGCCTCACCTCGGCCGGCTCCAGGTTCCAGAAGGGCTACGAGATCCCACCGGGGGGGTCGCTGGTGATGGGCCAGGAACAGGACTCAGTGGGCGGGGATTTCGATGCGGCCGAGGCCTTCGTGGGTCGGGTGGCCGGCTTTGCCCTGTGGGACCGGGTGCTGAGTCCTGGTGAAGTTTCTGCAGTCACCACGGGGAAATCTCTACCCAGAGAACCCATTCTAACCATGGACGATGTGGACCAGCTCAATGGTTCCGTGCAACTGGTGGACTGTGCCTGCCTGGAACACTGTACTTAGAACCCTATTTGTCTTCTGAGGGGTACTTTAACATCCAGCCAGCCTGGAAGACCACAAACTATCCAAATGCTTGAGCCACATGCATGCTGTCCATTGCACACATGTGGGGGCATATTTAAGAAGCTCACAGAACCTTTTGTATCTAAATGAATATGCACTGTTCTTGATAGGAACCTTATATGGAAATCTGTTCAAGAACAAATATAATAGCAGTATGTAAACACTGTGTTTCTTTGTTGTTTAGCATCATGTCTAACTGTAAAAATATTGCTTAAAGGAAGCATTTGCTCAATCAAGCCTCAACTCATTTTTTCACTGTTTGCATTTCATCTAGGTGTATTAAACACATGGCCCTGTGTTTTGATTCCAGATAGGTGGTGCTAATGTTGTGTAAAATACTTTAACGCAGTGTTTCTACCTCAGGGACCCCTGGACAGTCCCTGCCAGACAGCTGGGGGGGGGGGGAGCAAAAAACCTGGACTTTCTGGGGGTCCCCGGGGACCGGTTTGAGACACACTGTTAAAGTTACAGATGTTATCAATTATGTCGTTCAAGTTTGTGGAACTATGAGTACTACATTTCTGAGTGATATCTGTCATTTCAATATGGAAATTCTAAATAAAAGTTTTTTTTTCTTGAGTGAAATTATACTCCTTGGATGTTGTTATGCCTTCTAGAAGCTTGAACAATTGTTACGTTTTAGATTCTATCTGCAACAGTGTTTTGTATATTGTTATACAAGTTGCAGTGGTAGGGGTGGCATGGTGGTGCAGAGATGGATGGAGGTTGCAGCAATTTCTGCAAAACTTTGTGCGATATCGATCAGTTATTATCCACTGTCGGGACAATATCAAATGAAAATGGTCAGTAAGTGTCTGGTGCAACAACGTGAATAACATTAGTTTCTTCTTGGTTTATTTTACAATTGCGAAATGCCTGCCGATACTTGCGTGTCCCTAAAATGTCATGACGCCCCATCAAACGGCGTGCTAAATGACTAGGACGGTCTCGTGCTAAGGTGTCTTTCTTTTTTTCGGTGCCATAAAAAAATCTTTACGTTATGTTATTTACATTACATTTCTAATATAATATGTTGATCTAACATAAAAAGTCAACTGTTAACTGCAGTAATGTGGTTACTTTAGCATGCATATACAAATAGATATGAAATTTATGCGGTCGTTTAAGACCGATGAAGCAGCGTTTAATTTCCTTTTAATTAATTTCAAGTTGACTGGCTGAGCACTATACCGCTTGACTGCTGTAAAACGAATTATGCTGCTACCCTGTTTGTCGCGAGGGGCTTTCCGTAGTCTGGGTGCTTCCTCGTCACGTGAGTGCTGGTCACGTGAGTGTCATATTGGAAAGTGCGGCTCTGCAAGGGAGGACTGGGCAGCGGACTTGCTGGGATAGAAAAACGCCCCGGGAGAAACGGTGGACGGCTGAAGTCACCGTGCAGTGCCAGCATTATGGCGAACATCGCGAAGAAAGTGTCGTGGTCCAGTCGGGGTGACGAGCCGGCCCAGGGGGAGGGTACTCCGCTGCTTAATGGCACTGGCGCAGCAAGATATTCCAGACAGGTAACTTGCTTGTTTACCTGGTATCTTGCAGTTAGTCCTCTGTTAGCTACCAACAAGGCAAGATCAAATCTCATTCTAATTAGCAAGTTGTCGAAGTGGTGTAGTTTTGGTTATTTGTAATACAAGCCAAGTTTCATAACCATAAGTGACTTATTCATTCGTGACAAATGTTCCCCAGCCCGCTGCGATACTTTTTAATAATCTGTCTGATATGCTTAACATAACGGTAATTAAGTCCCTTTCATGTTTGTTGCTGTAATGTTTATTGCGGTAATGTAGCGAAGTCTTGGTGGGTTAAGTTGGGCATTGTATCCTTGATCCTCCTAACACTGGGCGCATACTCTGTTTTTTTTAATTATCCACGAAGGGACGAAGTTAGGCTACATAATTAGAGTAAAAGTATACAGTTTATGTTGCGAAAGTATCAGATTCAATTGAACTTTTCCCAGACTTGTAAACTTTCTTTTTCGTCTGATACCTTTTGACTCTTTTACAGTATTATGATTCATTAACTGTTTAGCTTGCTTACGTTATATTTCATTAAATGACATTTAGAGTTTGTATGTTTAATGTTGTCCCTTAAAGAATGATCCCCCCTGTGATCAGTAAAGTATTTTCTTGTTACCTTGCCTTGCTTTATCTCAATTGTTTAACTGACTTGAGATTTTACTTGAATAAAACGTCCTATCTCTGTCCACAGTTTTCCGGTGGTAAGCTCTTTCATATAGGAAGGCTCAGCACCGTGGACCTTGAAGAAGAAATAGACGAAGAGGTAATCTTGGAGGTTTATCAAATTTCCTCTTTTTCATGCTATTTTTTTGTGATCCGCTGTGGTTTTTCGTGTCGGTATTTGTTTGTAGCTGGCTGCGGCATGTGCTGTATCAGAACTTTTATTTTTATTATACTGCTTTGGATTCAGAGTGTGACAGTTACTGTAATGTGACACACGTGCTGTTTGTGGACCAGATTTGGTGCCTTACTGCTCGACACATAACGAAATCGCGGACCCGCGTGTAAGTCTGCGGGAACCGCTGTGGTCCGTTTCTCTTCCCGTCGCTGTTGCACACAGCAGATTGCGCTAATTTGGATTTTTAGATCCAAAAAAAAAAAAAAAAACTTAAAACTGCAATTGCATGCACACGCACAGGATGTCAGGCAACGTTTGAGTCAATGCTGTGATAAGACCTGTTTTTTAGTTAACCTGGAGCAACTACCAAATCTGTTTCTTGGTAATAAGTGTAGGCAGTGATTTAAAAACCCAGTCGCCCTCATCCTCTCGCAGACCTTTAGCTGTTAATCCTACTGTGCAGCAACTTGCGAAATAAAAGCGCTCAGTATTTGGACAACACCCTCCAGTCATGCAGGGTTCATTGAAAATCCCTTGTGTGTGTTTCTGGTTACTTTGTGTGCTTTTGATTAGGCCCACAGACAAGTTAGATAACTTAATGATCGCTCTCGCATTATTCTGTGTGCAGGAGTCAGTTGTTTCCCGGCCAAAGGAGATTCCACACAACGAGAAGCTCCTTTCCCTGAAATATGAGGTAAAGGGCCAGCTTAGTTTTTCCACATAAACCGGGGTCCTTGATGAATTTTAACGCCTGCCACGAATGTTGTCATGTTCAGTGAGGGCCATGTTTGTGTGTTTTAGAGCCTCGACTATGACAACAGTGAAAATCAGCTGTTTCTGGAGGAGGAAAGACGGATGAGCCAAATGGTCGGTCTGACCGCTGACCGATTTCTGTTTTGGTTATTTTCTGATATGCGGTAAAACAAATCTGGGTGGAATATGGGGGTGGGGTGGGGATCATCCTTTAAGACGTGTCTTCTTCATAACGGGTAGGATAGAGTAAGAAATTGAGCCCACACTATGGTTTATAATTGGGCAAGGTATAACTGTGAATTGTTTTATTTTATTTTTTTTTACAGTGGCTTAGTATGCCTCACTAGAGGAAACGGTGAATGCAGTAAGAGTGTGTTGGATGTTGGGTAGTTGATAGGCCCTAACTAGCGTCAGTGCTAACGATGATGCTAACGGTGGCGCTAAACTGACATTGATGCTAACGTTAGCGCTAACGTTGATGCTAATAATGATGCTAATAATGATGCTAATAATGATGCTAATAATGATGCTAATAATGATGCTAATAATGATGCTAACAATGGCGCTAACGTTGACGCTAATGATGGTTCCCCCCCCCCATCTTCTCGGGTCATGGCCTCTGTAGGGCTTTAAGTGCCTGGAGATGAGTCGCTGGCTGGTGTGTGCCCTCATTGGGATCCTCACCGGCCTCATCGCCTGCTTCATCGACATCGTGGTGGAGAACCTGGCCGGTCTCAAGTACCAAGTCATTCAGCAGAGTATCCTTCCAACAGGGACGAATGTCCGTGACCTAGATGCCTCTTGGATTTTTTTTTTTCCTTAACCTCTTCTGTTTTCGCTCAGATATTGAAAGGTTCACAGAGACAGGGGGATTGTCCATCTCCCTGATCTTATGGGTGCTGCTCAACTCCGCTTTTGTCATGGTGGGCTCTGTGATAGTGGCCTTCTTCGAGGTAAGGCACAGCCTCACTATCAACCTGGTGTCTGATTGGCTGAACCAGCGCAGGGCTGGACTGGAAGGCCCCGTTGGTCACCGATTGGTTGATCCCCGTTTTTCCGGTCAGCTTATTGGTGCTCTCTTTCTGTGTCTCTAAGCCGATTGCAGCTGGAAGTGGAATTCCCCAGATAAAGTGTTACCTGAATGGTGTGAAAATACCCCGTGTTGTGCGTCTTAAGGTAATGTGCTGGTGTGTTACCTCATCCCCTCAACCCCTCCTGGGTGTGGTGATTCTGTGAATGACTTGTCTGGTCAGATCCACAATACCATTAATTTCCCTGTTTGCCTGGTCATTGCTGCAAGGCCAGATAACCTTAATGTAGTAGAGTAGGACAAAAGCAGTAAAACTGAGTCATTAGATGACATCACTGCCTCCCCCCCCCTCCCCCCCCCCCCCCCCCCCCCCCCCCCCCCCCCCATCCCCTGTGTCCAGACTCTCGTGGTGAAGGTCTGTGGAGTGATTTGTTCAGTGGTCGGCGGCCTCGCCGTGGGGAAGGTGAGAGATTCCATTCCGTACCACCGTACAGTCAAGGACCACTTTGGCCAAAATGGTGGTAAGCATCTCTGCCCCCCCCCCACCCCCCATGTGTCTGAAGGAAGGACCCATGATCCACTCGGGTGCTGTGGTGGCGGCTGGCATTTCCCAAGGCAGGAGCACATCTCTGAAGAGGGACTTCAAGGTCAGTTTCTCCGTGGTCTTGTTGTCTTAGTCTACATTAAGAGTTACGCTTAGGGTCTCGTCCATCTTTCCTGAGGCTCTATAGAAGCCCTCAACTCGGTCACCAGTTTGTGAGGAATTTGTGTCAGATGAATGAAATCTCTCAGATCATAAACACTAAAAATCCTCTCCTGAAGTCTTCTGCGTGAGCTCCGGCTGCACGGGCTTCCACAATGGCGCTCAAAGCTTCTTTTGAGAGCAGAACCCTGAGTCTGATTCATCTGCAGATCTTCGAATACTTCCGCCGGGACACAGAGAAGAGGGACTTTGTATCGGCGGGCGCGGCTGCAGGGGTGTCTGCTGCTTTCGGAGCTCCTGTGGGTAAGACCTGAACCTCTGATCTCAGATCAGTTCCACGCCTCCAGAATCTGATGGTACCCCCATCAGGGTCCCCCTTCCCAAGAAGGGAAGCCATGACTGATAAAGAAGGTCATTGCTTTTTAGGTTTCAGGATATGGAAGTTCATGGTGGCTCTGTGTCGATGAATAATCCAGGAAAAAATGTCATAATAAAGGCATGGAGTCTCACTAAAGGAGCCTTATCCTTGTAATGGAGACCCCTATATGGCCTTTGCTGAATATTTCCAGTTTAGTGGCGCTAATCTGTGAGTAATGCAGTCATGCAGCAGTTTCTGAAGGTTTCTGGACTTGCAGGTGGTGTCCTTTTCAGCTTGGAGGAGGGAGCCTCCTTCTGGAACCAGATGCTGACCTGGAGAATCGTGAGTGACGTTTCCGATCAGTATACCTTATCTCCTTCCCTCGCCACGGAGCTCTGGTATAATGTAACCATTTAGTGACCCGTATCTTTCAGTTCTTCGCTTCCATGATCTCGACCTTCACCCTGAACTTCTTCATGAGTATCTACCACAACAAGCCGGGAGATTTTAGTAACCCGGGTCTCATCAACTTTGGACGCTTTGACAGCGATGTAAGTTTCCCCTTACTGTCGGTTTTGTGATGCGGATTGTCCCTTTTTTAAAAGTTTGTAGACAAAATCTTGAAAGTCATTAGATTATTGGGCGTCGGTAGTTGATCCAGTTATCTTGGCCAATGGGATGCTGTCAGCTATTACCCTCTGACATTGACTAACGGGAGGCAGGGAACCAGTGGAGAAAATGTGATGTTTATGGACGGTTGGACAGCTTAGAGTGGAGAGCATTTTATAATCATCACCTCGTTTGGGGGAAGGACGGTGGTCTCATTCTGGATTTTGGTCAAAATTATACCAAGCTCACACTATTCCCGAACACATTTTGGTCATTCCCGTCTGAGCCGTTCAAGAAGGGGCTGATCTGTGAGCTTTATGCGGAAACAACGGTGAGAGAAAAGGATGAGCTGTTATTTCCAGAAGGGGTTTGACTCGATACTCTGTCACATGAGAAGTGATGTATTTTTACCTGCCTTCTGGTCACACGGGTCGGAAAGGAAAACGTGAAAGGTTCATTGGGGGGCTTGGACACAGCCCCCCCCCCAGCACATGACTTTCCTGGGAGTCCCCCTGGGCTGGAAATATAGTGATCATCTCGGTGGATATGAATTCCGTGCCGGTTTTAGTTGAATGTCCTGGCTAGGTAGACTTGTCAGCGATGGCTGTGGATGTTTCTTGTTACAAGAGAGGCGCCTGCAGCAGGTTAAATGCTAAGCAGACACGACTGTTTATTTTTTATTTTTTTGCAACAGAATTTGACCTTCGCTGCCTGAGGTTTTTGGGAACCTTCACTCCGGAAGCCTACTGTATGCTTCCTAAAATGAAAAGTTGCCGTAGGATCACAACACGTCCGCCATTTTTTAAAATATATATAAAATAAGGTGAACAAGTGGTCCCCCATGTGTGTAGTCCTTGAGGGTGTGATGTCATCATTTGCATGTTTGACTGGAGGATTCTGGGTATTGATTTTTCTTTTTTACGCCCCCCTCCCCAGAGCACAGAGTACTACCTATATGAGATTCCTCTGTTTATCATCATGGGAGCCTTCGGTGAGAGAGAGTCTTATTGTGGAAACCTAAGCCTTGCTCTTTTACATTTTAACGGACCGGTTCTGTTTCTGGTTTTCTCACGTCGTGCCCATGTCTCCTTCACCCCCGCAGGTGGATTGCTTGGAGCACTGTTCAACGTCCTGAACTACTGGCTCACCATCCTCAGGATCAGGTGTGCCTGTGTGTGTGTGTGTGTGTGTGTGTGTGTGTGTGTGTGTGTGTGTG